CAATGTCACCCATATATCGCTTATAGCACTTACATACAATTTGACTTTTCCTTTCTTTGTCAATAAATTATAAAATAACGTCTACAAGACAAAAATATCTTTCGCGATTTATGAGTCTCGTTTTTTTTTATATCCTCACGATTGCCAATTCGAATGTTTGTTCGAATGAAAGGTGAGATAAAGAATAATTCCCACTTACAATCGATTAATATAAATATGATTAGTAATAATATGCATATGTATGATAAATGCTGAAAAATTGCAGTCTTCCGATAGTTGTTTTGATATAGCCAATTATTGCATGTGGTTATACACATGGTTCAACGTAATTTCCCGGAAATAATCCGGTTATACCATCCATCACTCCCTCCCACCATCCGTCGTCATTTTTCTTGAGCACATAAATCACAGAACTCTCTTGAAAGCTTAACTCATCCTCCTTATCTGCGTAATAATCATAAATAGCCACCACTGCAATCATAATTTTTATATTAATATTTATAATGTTATTAATATAGTGCCTTCTGACATAGACGTTGAAAACGATACAATAGAAAATTGTTTGAAATTCTACCTTTCTCAATATAATTTTTCGGTACCCATCCAGGAAGATCTTCCTCGTCCGGCACGATCGGCATTATAGCACCAGAAGATGGAGTCGGTCTGCCAAACTGCGGATGTTCGTCCTGCTCCGGTGGTGGTGGCGGCGGTAAAGGTGGACTATTTGCACCACTACCGCGGCTTATCTGATGCGATAATCTGTGCGGTAGAGTGTGATGCCCACTGTATTCCGCCATGTCACCACCTAGACCAACCAAGGGAGAAGGTGGAGCTGGTGGCAAAAAACATCAATATTTAATAATAAATTGTCATAATCATAAAATTATAACGTCATACGTATATCAACAGTATACATTTCTGTCGTTATTATTAATTATATTACTGTAACTTACGAGGCATACTGTTATGTTGTTCCTGTACGTAGCCCGCGGTGACGCTGGGCGGTGCTGGTGGTGGCGTTTGTGGATGACTCTGCAGAGGATGCACCGTTCCCACTTGCGGCATAGTGTGCTGATTGATGGTATTAGCATGCGCGTTATGATTGGCATTATGACTTGTGTGCGACGTATTATGTGCATGCAACGGTAGAGTGCTGTAACCTGGCCGATCCCGCCTAGGATGACCGAGCGGATAATTGGGCGCGTAGTGGCTAGGAACTTGTGGTGGGGCTACTGCTGGTGGAGTCCTATACTCAC